GTGTTTTACCTGGAGCTGGCGGCAAAAGCTTAAGCTCTTATTTTCCCCATGCTTCCGAGCTTCTCATTCTCCAGCAATTTCATTATATCCTACAGACATTCAAGAGGCCTGCAGCTTCGTTTTCCCTATATTGTCTGATTTGTGGTATGATCTGTTCAACAGGAAAAATATGCTGGAGGTGTTCTGGTTTTAAAATAAGATAGGGATGACTTTTCTAAACATGAAAGTTAAGCTAATTCCACTGTTTTAATCAGGGCTGTGGTGTCGGAGTTTGGGACCTTGAGCTGGAGACTAGAGCGCTCAGGAGCTGGGGCGAGAGCTGTAGTTCTAAATTTTCTCATGCTCCAGAGCAATTTCATTGGATCCTACAGGTATTCAAGAGGCTTGCAGCTTTGTTTTTCCTATATTGTCTGATTTGTTGTATCCTCTGTTCAACTGGAGGCTGGAGGTGTTCTGGTTTTAAAGTAAGATAGGGATGACTTGTATTACCATGAAAGTTAAGCTTAACTCCATTGTTTTAATCAGGACAGAGGAGTCGGAGTTTGGGACCTTGAGCTGGAGACTAGAGCGCTCAGGAGCTGGGGCGAGAGCTGTAGTTCTAAATTTTCTCATGTTCCAGAGCAATTTCATTGGATCCTACAGGTATTCAAGAGGCTTGCAGCTTTGTTTTTCTTATATTGTCTGATTTGTGGTATCCTCTGTTCAACTGGAGGCTGGAGGTGTTCTGGTTTTAAAGTAAGATAGGGATGACTTGTATTACCATGAAAGTTAAGCTTAACTCCATTGTTTTAATCAGGACAGTGGAGTTGGAGTTTGGAACCTTGAGCTGGAGACTAGAGCGCTCAGGAGCTGGGGCGAGAGCTGTAGTTCTAAATTTTCTCATGCTCCAGAGCAATTTCATTGGATCCTACAGGTATTCAAGAGGCCAGCCACATTATAACGGCAAGTTGCTGTAGAGCGACTATTAAAATACATTTAATAACCGTTTGAGATCAAATATGAAGGAGAATTTATCTGATTCAATTCTTTTCCTAAGAATGGACAAATAACTCAACCGTGAATTTCAATTTGATATTTCCAATATGAGCTGATGATTTTATTATTTTTTAATGTTCCTTTTATAACGCAAATTTCAAATTAAAATATGAAACTCAAAAGTACTCATAAGTATATAGTAAAATTGCCCGAACCTTAGTGGAACCGGACCTGAAGCTTTAGCTTATTATCTTCGAGCGGAGCTGGAGTTGGCGCATCGAACATTTTTTGGCTGGTCTGAGTTATAGGAAATATTGCAGGAGTCGGAAAAATTTGCAATAGTTTTTCAGTTTATGAATATTCACTAAAGAGTCTTTGTGTGTGAGTTATAGTTATCGAATATGTAATTCTTTTCTTATGATGATTTTACACAATTTCAATATTTTGTGTAACTATATTTTTTGTTAAATTTTTTTCAGCTATTGTGTTGTAATATGAAGTGTAATTTTAATTAAAATACCCATAACTCTATTCGTACATAAAAATTTGCCTGTTTTTAGATTTTTGATAAGTAATTTTGTTTTTATGCAATTTAACGTTACGTTTTGTTTTTATCATTTTAACGTTAAAAGAATTTTTTTAGCTCTGTCCTAATCGGTTTTCCTCAGTTTAAACTGTGATGAAATTAGATTTTTTTAAAGAATCTAAATAACAAAGGAACGTGTAGTTTTAAATTACTTACTGAAAACTACAAATCGCATCATTTTATTGTTTTATTTAAAGGTTTGAGGAAAAATTTATCGAAGTCCTAAAACTTATCAAGTCCTAATCTAATAAAGCAACCCTTTGATTATTATTATTTTATTATTATTTTTTTAACCTTTTTGAAAGGTATTGGGTTTCCATCACAAAATTGTTAAGCACAGAAAAAAAAATCGAGCAAATTAAAAATTTAACTTAAAATCGGAAATGGCGAAGGTGGTGGCTTCCTAAGGTCTTTATTTATTTAGTTTATTTCATTATGATTATTTTGATTAATCTCGGTAATAATATCACTTTTAATTCTCAGTTCAAAACGTAGTGACGTTTAACAGTTATCCTGGCATTTTGCTGTGCAAGCATTTCCAATCAAAAGTTATTTTTAAAAAAAAAATCGTAATTTTTAATGCATTCTGATATAAATTTTAACTATTATTAAGGAGGAAAGAAAATAATTTCTTTTGTGACATTTGAGATATATATTTAAATAATTTTTTTTTTAATTTCCCAATTTTATCGACTTGTGAAATATAAATTTTAATTTTATAAATTCACTGAGAATAACTGCTCAATAAAATCACTATCGTATGATATATTATCTTAGTACAGCAATAAAAATGCACAAATTAAAGTTTCGGCTGCATCTTTCCTAAACTAGTAAAGTAATTTTCGATCTTTTACTTCTTGTTCCTTAATTTTTTTTTCTCCCTCCCAACGCACCTCACTTAGCCGGGGCTTCAAAATCCGGAAAATGTTAAACGTATCTCAAAACTTAGTGGAAGGCACATTCAAGCGAAATGAAGCGAACATGATAGAAAATTACTTTTCCCGGATATTTGAGGCGTTTCCTCAAAGATGGTGAAGGTTCGGGTCTCTTGTTTCGCAATCTTGCGAGCGAAACTCGGTTACGAGGAAGGATGGGTCATTTTGTGTCGTCTGGCCATCGATCGTGCCTGCTCCCGATTAAAGGCATCTCTGCTTCTTTTCTCCCGTTTTCGGGGTTATTGGCTTCCCTCTGGCTGCAAGATGATCCTTTTCTTCCTCTTTTTTTTCCTTCTCCCGAATCCCGCCTCTTGCTCTCCTTTTCCAGTAGTGCTCGATAAAAATTTGGTTTAACATGTCTTCATTTAGAGAATCTGAATTCGTTATCTTTATGTAATAGGAATCGATAAAAATTATTTAACATCCAGTTTTGTGTAAGTGAGAACATTAATTTTAATTTCGGTTTCTGTTTTTTTCCCTCTACTGTTTGATCGAGGATAAAGAAACATTAATTGATGTCAATTCGTACGGAGAAGATTAAGGTGCTGCTTATAGTTTTGAATTTTATGATTTCAATTATTATTATGTACATTTTTTAATTCCCCAATTCCTACAGAGAAGATGAAAGTGCTTATAGTTTTGATTTTTATGATTTCAATTATTATTATGTACATTTTTTAATTCCGCAATTCCTACAGAGAAGGTGAAAGTGCTTATAGTTTTGATTTTTTTGATTTCAATTATGTACATTTTTTAATTCCCCAATTCCTACAGAGAAGATGAAAGTGCTTATAGTTTTGATTTTTATGATCTCAATTATTATTATGCAAATTTTTTTATTCCCTCTCTTCTACAAATTTAATTTTTTCCTTTCTGTTACGATTTTATGTGTATAAATCCCTCCCCCCTTGTTTTTGAGGTTATTCGTTTGTGGATGCAAATTGATCACCCCCTTTTTTTTTTTTTTAAAGAATTTTACCCCTTACTCTCATTTTCTTCTAGTGCTCGATAAAAATTCGGTTTATCATATCTTCATTTGGGGTATCTGGATTTTATTTTTATGTTATAGAAATTGATAAAAAAAAATTTAGCATCGAGTTTATATTTTTTTGTATAAGTGAGAACATGAATTTTAATTTTGGGATCTTGTTTCTTTTACTGTGCTATTAAGAATAAAGAAAATATTAATCTGCGACAATTTGTAATAAAAAACAGGAAAATTGATATTAATGGGTTTGTATGAAGGAAATATTAATTGTGGTCTATTTGTAACAAGAACTTGAAAATGCATATTTATGGATTTTGATTTGTATTTTTAAATAATTATGTTTATTTCCATAACTTTTTTGTGATTACTTGTTTTATTAGATATTATTACCTAATATTTGTTTTCTTTCTTAGGTATTAATAATGTTTCAAAAATTTTGGTCATATTACCTTTAGAATTTTAGTGTAAATTTTTAACTAAATTATTTTTCTAAATTTACGATAATTGATTTTAATAACTATGCTATACGATATGCGGTCGACTGTCTCAATATTACAGGGCTGCTAACTTTACAAAAGTTTCTAGAAAAGTTTTTCTAGTGGTTAGCTAAGCTTATCTTTGTTTTTAAAATTTGATTTAAAGGTGTTTTCTGCACGACTACATGTAAATTCAAAAGTTCACTTTTTTCTTGTGGTGGGACTTTTAAAATATTGGCAAAATTACTCATAATCCTAAAAGCTTTAGTTTTTAATTATCTACCACTCTGTAAAATATTTTGCAAAAAACGTGGTAGTTGACTGTCCAGATGTTATGTGATGTTAAGATAGACTCTTTAAATATTGTATAACTACCAAAATACATTCAAATAATCGTAATATACATTACGTAATATACAGTACGTAACATATATTATGATAAAGTACTTTTGAACTTTGGTTATTTTAAACATCAATAGCAAACAATAATAATTTTTTTAACAGCATATGATTTTATGATAAAGTGTTTTGTAATTTAAAAATATTATTAGTTACTAAATAATTAGAATTAGGAAGGAGTTTGTATCCCGTGAATATACCAGGTTTTAAAGTTGTCACGTTAAAATTGTGATTTTTGGTATTCAGCAAACATAGGTATTTCTTTTGCCAAATACTTTTTTTAAAATTACATTTTTAAGCAACTGTTGGTTTGATCCTAGTCCCTTATTTTTGAATGATATTAGAAATTTAAAATTTGTTGACGTAAGCTTTTAGTGTCTCAAACACTGTATTAAACTTTAAAAATTTTCTGAGCAATTACTTTCCCCCCCATAAATCCACTCGTAAAAATTCAGTTTTAAATGTTCTTATTTCATTTCCTTTGTATTAGGGTAAAACATAATACAAATGTGTATGTTTATCTAATGATAAAGTTTATCTTCTATTTCAACTTTGTCTGCTTATATAGAATATTTTGTTCTTGTAATGTTTTGTGTTGTACAAAATGTAGTTTTAATGCTTTATTCTTTCTTATTTTTCAGAAATTCTTAAATGAACAAGAGCAAAAGAATGTGCAATTAAAGAAACTATTAGCAGCGGTGTCTCATTTAAGACAGAAAAAAGATTACAACAAAGAATTAGAGGCCAGAGGTAAGCTTTTTAGTTATTATGTACATTAATATGCATTTTTTATATTTTATTTTTTTGTATATGTTGAAACTGGAATGAGCTTAGCATTTGTTTTTTTCTATACATCTCCATGCGAGATATCGGCCCTTTATTTTGGAAGATAGTCGTCTTGAAAAGGGATGTAAAAAACTTATTCGATGATAACCGCATTAAAATTTAATTTTGAAATTCCTTTCAAAAAGAAATAAAAATAATTTGTGCGTTTAAAGGTCGCAAATAATAAAATAGAAAAATAAAAATAAAGAGAGATTAACAATTATAACTAGTTGAATAATTATGGAACAGGGTTATTATTAAAATCATTAAAACATACGTTATTTTGGTTGAAAAAAATTAAAAAAAAGATATTTATTTCGACATGGCATTTCAGTTTTTTTTTTGTTAAGGGATCTCTTAAGTCGAAATTTGTAGTCGGAATTTAAGTGGCAATTTCTTTTATTTATTAAGTAACTTTGTAATTTGCATATTTTGATATTTTTTTTGTTTCATTTTATTTATAAAATGAGTTCTTATTGATCATAGTTACCAAATTTAAAATTTTAGGGCTTTAAATTTTCTCAATGTTTTAACAGTTTTGAAAAAGTTTTAAATGTACTTTAAACCATAAAATTTAAAATTTGGCAACTAGGTTTAATAGAACACATTTAAATGATTTGAATGAAACGAAATATAATAAAAAATATTAGTTAGTTATTGAAATAAGGTAATTGCATTCAAATAGTCTTTTTGTGTGTTCTGTCTGAAGACTCTTAAAACTAAAGTTTATTTTGTGTGCAGCTGAAGCCATTAGTCAGTTATTGAAAACATAAGTTATTGAAATAAAATTGTATTCGTATAAGAAATGTGCTTTGCTGAAATGATTAGTTAGTTATTGAAATAAGTTTTGCTGAAAACATTAGTTAGTTATTAAAATAAGTATAGATGAAAACATTTATTGAACTAGTGTTGCTGAAACCATTAGTTCGTTATGGGGAGAAATATAAGTTAGTTATTGAAGTAATATAAAAGTTAAGATAAAACTAAAATTTATTTTTCTTGCAGCTAAAAATATTAGTTATTGAAATAAATGTAGCTGAGACCATTACTTCGTTATGGAAAACATTAGTTATTGAAATAAAAAAATTAAAACTATTAGTTAGTTATTAGTTGTTGAAGTAAGGTAAAAATTGATTTTTGAAATAAGAAAGTTAAAATTTAAGTTTTTTTTCCATGCAGCTGAAGCTATTTGTTAGTTATTGAAATAAGTCTAGCTGGAACCATTAGTTAGTTATTTAAATAAGTGTAGTTGAAACTTTCAGTTAGTTATGGAAAACATTAGTTATTAAAATCATTAGTAATTAAAATAAGTTAAAAATTGATTGTTGAAATGAGAAAAACAAAACTAAAGTTTATTTTTCGTGTAGCTTAAGCCATTAGTTACTTATGTAAATAAAATTGCATTCGTATAATCTCTTTTTATTTGAAGACCCTTAAAACTGAAGTTTACTTTTCGTGCAGCTGGAGCCATTATACTAAATTCTAGCATTTGAATGCAAAATTCATTCACTTATGTATCCCAGCAAAATCTGTTTGAACCAGAAAGATTTAAAAAAAAAGAGCCTTATTCCGTTTAGTTCAACTGAAAGGATTGAGTTATGCTATTGATGATGGAGGTCTCTTTCTTAACTTCAACTTCCTCCCGTGTGTGTCTTCGATTTGTTAGAAGAATCTAACGGTTCTAAAGGCGAGTGTTTTCTTTCATGCGGAATTCAATTTTAAATTTTTCTTACTTCTTTCTAACCTGGCATCTTGGAAGTCTTGTCTTTTTAATCTTTTGCTTGTATTTTTATTAGCAGCTGTTGAAACTCTTGGTGTTAATCTTTTTTCTTTTCTTTTTCGGGTTTCCTCTCATTGATTAATTGTTAAAAGGTCCTATCCGTTTGCTTGGGAAATTGGTAAATTAAACTATCCGAAATAGACTGTCAGAGGTTTTGAGAACTAGAGTTACGCATATTCTGCATTGCCTTTTGACATTTTTGAGAGGCTTATTACGCGTTATTTTCGCCTGGAATTGAATTCCGTTAATCCCAGGATGTTAAATTATTTTCTGCATAGTCTGTGTAAAGAGGACGCTATACAGCGGGATAAATTCTTCATGGCGAATCTTCATGGCGAACCAACGTAAGTAATTTAAAATGTAAAGTATATAAGAAGTGGGTTTAGATAAATATAGAGAAAGCTGTGAAGCTTCAAATATTGAAAAAGTGTTTTAAAAGTATCTAAATTCGAGCAGATTATTGCAGGATTACTTCTTCACTGTGTAATCCTAATCTGGCTATATTTTGTTTCCATTTTGACATTTTATTATTTTTTTTCTCAGAATATTGAACTTCATGGTTCACTTTAGGTTAATCTCAGCTCATTTTTTCTTTAAAGGTTGCTAAATATAAGTTAAGCAACCAAAAAAAAAAAAAAAAAAANATAAGTTAAGCAACAAAAAAAAAAAAAAAAAAAGCCGGTCTTTTTTAAAAAATGTGTTTAAACAGCTATAAATTTTAAAAAAAAGCTGACTTTTATTATAACAAAATATTTTTCAAAGACTGAGATAAAATGAAAAAAGGATTATGTAAATTAATTGCTAAGTAGTGTGATTAGATGGTGGGAACAATGTGAAACGGCAGTTTTGCACTTATGAAACATCTTAATGTGAAGAAACAACTTTAAACTTTATAAGTACCTACTAATAATAAAATTTTTAATTTATTGGGGTTATATAAAAGTGAATTTCCCAACTTTTACAACCAAATATATTTTTATTATTATTATTTTGAATGTATCTTATTGTTTTATAGAAAATTATTGATAAAAGAAAAGAAAGATTTAGCATAATTTTTGAAAAGTTTCTACTTAGGAGCAATTTTAAGCACTTCTTTTATAAATTGGAAAGTGACTGTGATATGTTTAGAATGTTTCAGAGCGGTATATGCTTTTCTATAATTATAAAAACCTTAATTATTTATGTAATAAATAGAGTTAAATAAAAATAAAAACTGAACTTCAACTTAAAAAAAAAAAATTTAAAGCAAAAGTAGAATGAAAAAATATTCTTAATACTGAAGTTAATCTGTGCAGTAAAAATTTATATTAGTACAAATATCTTATTATTTTATTCTTATAAATTGTAATAATTTGTTTTTTAAATTGTTATAAATTATAAAATAATATATATTTAACTCTTTCTTGTCTCATTAAAAAAAATCTACTAAGACAAATAATCTAATAGATCTGTTCTAAATTTTATTTCGAACTAAAACTGAAAATAACTATCAATAGGAATACAGAATGTTCAGGTTGGAATTGTAAAAGTAATCACAATAATCTTAACCCATGCTTTGTGAAATTATGCTAAAAAAAATTAATTATCCAAATTTTTCGTTTTATGTGTAAGTTATTTGCATATTAAATACTATGGGAATTTTTAACTTATATTTTTCTGCTTTTGCTATGTATTTTTAAAGAATTTGTTTATTGAATGGCAGTTCGCCTTAGTTTTTTTTTTTTTTTTTTGAAGTACATGATATATGTAAATAAAAACTAAAATCATTTATAACATTTCTAAAAGCCAAGTTTTACTTAAAGAAACTAAAAGTCAACCTTTTGTAACTTATAGACACGAATAAATCTTTTAAATTATTGTGCCATTATATAACTACTTGTAGTAGGTAATTATTGCTTGCGTCACGTTAGCTGTTACGAAACTTACACTTTGATGGAGTATCAGACATTTGATGCATCATAATATTATGCTTTCATAATTTATATCATAGTTTCATCATATCATCATAATTTATATCATAGTTTCATCATATCATCATAATTTATATCATAGTTTCATTATAATGTCATAATTAATATCATAGTTTCATCATGATATAATTTCAGTTATATTTTCATCAAATAGTAAACAATAAATATACAGATGTTAATTATGATAAACAATTAAAAAAGCTAATAGAGACTGGCTCTTTTTTTTCTTTTTAAATAAAGTCAGTATTTTTAATAAAAACCAGGCAGACAGGATTTTTTTTTATATTTTAAAACCGGCTTTTTTTGCTATTTTGTTTTTTTTCTAAGCTTTAAATTTGAAATTGCCAATGGAGGTGAAACAGAATTTGACATGAAAATTTTCTCCCGTTGTAGCGTCCTCTTAACACATAGTTCAAATCACTTTTGTTTCTTTCATTCATATCTGGCAAGTCTGTAAAGTGAGTCCCTTTTTGTGTGCTCTTATTTGTATATTTTTGACGCGAATGAAGTTTTTAATCAAGTAATGTATTACCGCTTCAGTTTCTTGGAATTATTTATTTAACATACTTGTTAAATAAATAATACAAGGCAGTATCAAATAAGTTCAAAATTACTAACATGGTTTACAGTAATCACAATTGGTTAATTGCATTACAATTGGTTGTGGCATAAACATGCTGATGTTAGGACAAACGGCGAACATGTTCGTGTCTTTTTCATTTACCTCATTTCAGTTGAAACTATGTTTATTTTTCTTGCAACTGAAGCAGTTTTACGAAAACTTACCATCGTAATACTGAATAAATTCACTTCTGTTCTTTGGCAAATATGTTTAAACTAGAAAAGATGAAAAAGAACTTTATTCTGCATCTGAAAGCAATGGAGGCAGTGAATAATTCTATTGATGATTGAGGTTCCCTCTTCAACTTCTTTTCTTGTCTTCGATCTGTTTGAAGAATCTGACGATTCTTTAAAGCGAGTGTTCTCATGCGGAATTCAATTTTAAAGTTTTCTTCTTACTCTTCTTCAAAGTTTTGTCTTCTGAATCTTTTGATAGTATTTTTATTAACAGCTGTTTGAACTTTTGGTGTGCATTTTTTCCCCTGGTTCCTTGCTAAAAAGTAACGATACTCTAACTCTACCATCGATTAACTGTTGAAAAGATCTATCCATTT